AGGCGGTGCGCGGGCGAGAAGCGCGAGGAGGGGGCCGGGGAGTGTCCATGGGCGAGGCGCTGAGCGGCGCCTCTCACCTCTCCTCGTGGCCGGGAGCGCAGCGCCCCAGGGAGGGCCCGGCCGGGAACCGCCCCCCGAGGCCAGCAACCTCCGGCCCAGCCCGCCGCCCCTCATCCAGCTCCCTCGCGCTGAGCTCGCGGGCAGAGCCTCACGCCCTGCACTTCCGGCGGGCGCCCCGCTGGGCCCTGGGACTTGTAGTCTCGTGGCTGGGCGCTGTAGCGGCCGCGGTTTTAGCGCGGCGCCCTCGTGTGGCCTGGAGCTGCTGCGCCGCAGTGGTTGCGCGGCGCGTGCATCGCACAAGACCGTACGCGCACGCGCTTTCACTCGTAGGCACATTTCTCCCCCTGCACGCACGCTCGCACACTTTTAGACTCACGTGTATGCACACAGAACACGTATCCCTTCCTGGACACTACCCCACATGCACCTTCACGGTTTGCACATCCCCCCCTCCCGTTCAGACTCACTCGCATTCACACACACCCTTGTGGTGTGAAGAGATGAAATCTTTGCACATAACTTTCTCCTCTCTACCAGCTGTGCCAATTTTGCACAAAGTTACAACAACAATGAATATTAAAAGGTTTTAAGAGCATGCTTACACTTTGCTCATTATCTCCCCACTCCTGGAGTTAGTCTCTGGGGAGGATTGTGTACATGCCACCTGGTTCTGACCCAATAAAGAATCTCTTTTACCTTGGCTAAAGTTTTTATAAACCCAAGCAGCTGGATTTTGCTCTCGCTTACAGCAGAATAAATCAATACTAATTGCATTTAAATCAGGGACGTTACTCCTGTTTTTTCTCTCTTGTTATGCTGATGCCACAGGGAGCAAAATTAAGTTCCTTGTCTTTACATTCTGTGTAAAATAGGATCTGGGAATGATAGTTAAGAAATCAGAACAAAAAATAAACAGTTAAATGCCCAAACAAAATAAAAGGAATTGAGGTTAAAAGTGAGGAAAAACCTCATATGATCCTGGCTTGTAAAACACATTGAAAAGAATATTCACATTTACTATCTCAGTGAATTTGTTCTCAGAGGGTCCCAAACATCATCGCACTGTGATCCTCTTCAGACAAAAAAAGAAATCACAGCATGACCCCAACAAGGAAGACAGAATCCTGAGCCCACCCAAACTCTCTGCCTGGGTGAGGGAACTAAAGCTGGAGCCCCATAGCTGTGGACAGGGGTGGAACTGTTGCATAAATTGCAAGGTTTCGTCCCCTTGGAGGCTAGTCTGATTTACCCCAAGAAGAGAGTCACACTTTCAGGCTGGGTCCAACTCAAGTTTATTGGTTGCAACCAAGGTACGGCTAAGGAACTCAATGTTCAAAACAGAGCCGACCCCCAACATCTCATAGGCAGGGGTTTTTATAGGGTTAACATCCTTCCTGGTTTAGGTGCCTTAACATGATAGGTTACTTCATTTTTGACATTTAGCATTCCTATAGGTCAGGTTAATTTTCTAAATACAGTGCCTACTTGCTGACTTTGCGGTTACAGCTGTGTTAAATGGGCAAGCCATACTTCCCTTTTTCCTTTCCTGCTTGAGCCGGTCACAAGTTTAAAGGATGTGGAATCTATCCATATCTCTACTTAACAGAAGACTGGTTTCACTTCCCCTCGTCTCCTTATTATAAGTTATTACCTGTGACAGGCCTTGACCTTTGTCATGTCTTACTCCTATACAAATAGCAAATATATCTAAGCATTAGCAATGTATGTATATTGTACGTGCCCCTCATAGGGGAATCAATAGCTCCGGGGGATTTGATTTCCCTTTTACACATCAGAACAGAGCCAAAACCTAAGGACTTCAGCCCCAAGCAGGGGGCCTATAACCTGAGCTCTGCAACTGAGGGCTGAAACTCACCGGCTTCAGTTTTGGCTCAGGCTTCAACTTTGGCCCTGTGGGTGGTGGACTTTGGGCCTTGGCCCCTAGTCCCAGCAAGTTTAAGCTAGACCCAGTGAAAACAGGGTCATGGCCCACTTGAGGGGTGATGGAGTAATTTTTAAAGGAGTAGACCAGAGGTGGGCAGTAATTTTTGATGAGGGGCCACTCCAATATTTTGGTAAGTGGTCAAGGCCCATACTTTTCTATGGAGGGGGTCCAGGGTCTGGGACAGAGGTCGGGTGCAGAAGGGAGCTTGAGTAGATGACTGATGTGCGGGAGAGGGCGTTGTGGCTGAGAGGGAGTCTGGTTCAAGGAGGGGATTGTGATCTGGGACAGGGGCTGGGGTGCAGGATCCTGGAGAGGGTATGCGTGCAGGAGAGGATTCTGGCCTGGGCCGGGGTATAGGGTAAAGATGTTAAAATGTGTTTAATTAAGTAACTGTGTATCTGCTGAAATATTCAGCAATTACTCAGTTACATGTGGCAGGACAGGTGGCTCCTACCTCCTCTCTTCCCCCCGGTGGCTCCCTCCTGGCTCCCCGCGCAAGGGAGTAGGTGGCTCCCCAGGAGCCAGTGCATGTAAAAGCCAGTTCCTCCCACGTACCAACTCGTGCCTCCCCCCCACCACACTGCAGTCTCTGATATAAAGGCAGCAACATGGGGGGTGGGGAGAGGCAGCTCCCTGGGAGCTGGCACATGCCAACTTAAAAGCTGGCTCCTTGCATGTACCAGTAGCTTGCGTGTAACTGTGAATGTCAACTGAGGAGCCTAAGTAGGCCCATACCTAGGTGGCTCCTGGGCAGCAGCACTATAGGATCCTGAGGCAGGCTCCCTGCTTACTGCAGCCCCAGGCTGCTCAAAATGGCTGGCTGCTTCCCGTGGCTTTCTGTTCCAGGTGCCCAGGGAAAAGGAAGGCTTCACACTCTATCCCTGCTCCCAGCAAAATCTCTCTGCTCTCACTAGCCAGTTTCTGAGAAGCCTTCCTCTCCCCTGGTGCCTGGACCAGAGAGCCACAGGGAGCAGCTAGATGCTTAAAGTGATGTGGGGCTGCTCTGTGTCTGAGGGTCCCAGCAGGGCAGCCTGTGAGCCAGATCAGGTGGTTTGGTGGGCTGGATCTGGCTCACTGGCTGTAGTTTGCACGCCCCAGGACTAGACCCACAGTTTGAAAGTTGCTGTTTTAAAAGCTCAGATATCTGCATTGATGTGAAAGAGCTTTGAACTGGAGAACATTCTGGGTATCAATTTGCTGCTGCACTGTGGTATCCAGCATTGCCATGCAGCCTCTGAACCGGATTTGGACACTCTCCTGAGTATGTGTGCAACCATGGCATACCCGGTTCAAGCTTATCACACTGGTGTTGGAACAATCTGACTGGGAGCACTGATGAGCCTGTTCAGACTCACTGAGATGCACAGCAAATAGTTACCTGGTCAAATTCAGCCCGGCAACAAATGAATAATGAAGCTCCTTTAATGTCAGTGGAATTATACCCACCTACATTAGAGCTGAATAGTAACCAATATTTCAGCCTCATACATACCTACCAGACACACCTTGGGGAAAAAAACAGAGTTCTAATTTTACTAGAGATGGACTCAAATTCAAATCCTGTATTAATACATCCCTAAACTCTGGGGATGTTTGATAAGTAAAACCAGCTCCAGCTCCAACCTTTATAATTAACTAGCACATTTACCTGGTGTTGCTCAAGTTATTAAGGCAAGGCTCAGGGCAGGAGGCTCTGGGTGTGGGGGATGCAGGAGTCAGGATTGGGAGGGGGGGCTGAGGAGGGGCTCTGGACAGGGGAATCTGGACAGGGGAATCTGTGTGTGTGTAGGGAGGATGGTAGGGGGGGACTGACCTCCCCCAAGATTCATACCCTGGGGCTGTGTCTAGACTGCATCCCTTTTCCGTAAAAGGGATGCAAATTAGACATATCGCAATTGCAAATGAAGCGGGGATTTAAATCCCCCCCACTTCATTAGCATAAAAATGGCTGCCGCTTTTTTCCGGCTCGGAGCTTTGCCGGAAAAAAGCGCCAGTCTAGACGCGGATCTTTCAGAAAATAAAGCCTTTTCCGAAAGATTCCTTATCCCTCATTTTAAGATAAATACAGACAGACAAACAAACTCTGGGTCTTAGCATAGCTGATTGATTGTTGGAGATTTCAAAACTTGGATCAGGGTTTGAATTTTGTGGCTGATGATCTTGTGTTGAAATCATTGGATTGCACCTCAGAAGGTCTTCATTCAATTCCCCAATTTGCCAGAGACCCCCTTATATGACATTGACCAAATCATCTCTGTGCCTCAGTTTTCCCATCTATAAAATGATCTATGCTTCTTTTCTCCCACTCTTTCTGTCTTGCTGTTTATGCTGTAAGTTCTTTGGAAAGGAACTGTTCTCTTACTATGTATCAATACTGTACCTAGGACAAAGGAACCTCTAAGCATTCCCATACTGCTAAATTCTAAATTTTTACAGATTTGGCCCTACTTTGTATGCAGAGGCTGCTCAATATAGTCTGCTACCCTAGGCAACACTTGACTGTGCTCACACCACTCAAATATGTTCCAGCCATATCTCCATCATGATGGGGGGAGGAGGAGGAAGAGAGCGGCAGGACCAAATCCGAGCAAGTAGCATTGTAATCTGTGCCATGACAGAGTGACAGCAGCCAAGCTTGATGCCCTAGGCAGCTGTCTGGAAATCTGCCACCGTAGGTAGAGCAGCCTGTGTGTATGTGATGTCTTGTCATGTGACAAGAGTGAGATGCAATCACCGGTGTCAGTTTGAATACTATGGAGTCCCATTTCTTTAAGGGCATTTCGACAGCCTCCTACAGAGATAATAAAAGGTAAAGCTTGTTCTGACTCTACAGAACACCCCTGTCATCTCTAAGCAGGCTGCCTGCCTGACTTGTACAATAGACCATCAGGTGCTAACCAAACCCACTTTACTTCTGTACCCACTGAGTCCACAAATACAGGTTAGAACTGCTCCCTCTCGCTTTGAGCAGCCTTGTACACTGTCCCCTTCAGTGCAGACCTGCCATTACTTTCCCTTCATTAAAGGTCTTTATAGCAATTAAAAGCTTCTCATGCAAAGGAAGGCTAAAAATCAATCCTTTTCTGTGGACACTGTGCTGACCATGCTGTATCCCATGTCTAAGGAGATCAGATGTTAGCATTAGCAGCTCTAGTGGTTGCTTTGCCCAAAGCCAGTCATTTCCCTAAAATCCAGGCTTGGAGCCTTGATAAGCAGGTAGTTTATTATTAC